TCCCTGCCTCTAGCCTCTCCCACTAGAATCTGCTTTTCACGTGGCAGTGGGGGTGATCTTTTTAGAACAGGCAGCTATTAATCCCCTGCCTGAAGGCTGGCCCAGGCTCTCCAATGTCTCGTGCCGAATTCTTATTCTAGAAGTCAAGTCCCTTCTCTCTCTGGTCCCTGTCAATCTCTGTAACTTCCCCTTTTGAGACTCCCCGCCTCTCCCTCTATACTATATCCCAAATACTCCTCTATCTGCCCCTTGAACACATCTCCTGCTTTTTCAGCCCTTCCTTTTGTCCCTGCCTTATTGGCCTGCAGGGCTCTCCTCATCTGCTTATAATTCACAACCAACCCAAAAGGTGTTTCCATGTTGCAAGCCTGCTTTGTTCCCTCCTCTGAGCCCTTCAACTCTATAGTAATACACATCACCCTAGATATAATTGCTGGCCAGTGTTGTCATTGGCTATCCCCACTAGACCATGCAGATTCACTGTGATTAAGCAGCCGGCACACGGCCAGCTTCATTAAATATGGAATTAATAGTGACCCCCAGTTCTCCTAATTTAAAAAATAAGCAGCATAAGCAGCCAGGCCTGGTTAATCCAGAGGAGAGCAAGAGTCCTTGGGACTAGAGGAAGATGAAATCACAGAGGGCTTCCTGGAGGAGGTTGGTCTGAATTATAAGGTGTCTAATAAAGAGCAAGAGCAAGCAAGAGAGGGCAGGTGAGTGTGAGAGGGTGAAGATCTAGGAGCCTGAGTGGCTCCCTGTTCTGTCACACTTGTTCTTCTAGCTTCAAAACACTCAAAGCCATGCCCCTAGCCCCTGGGCAATAGCACAGGACTGACTTCACATTTACAGAGAAAATTTTCACAAACTTTTCCTTCTGTGTGTGGTTGCCTGGCTCAGAGGCTAGCTTGAGAGTGCACAAATATGAGACCTCAGGTCTGCCCTTGCCCCTGGCTTGCTGTGTGATGGGCAATTCCTTCCATGTCTGAGCCCGTTTCCTCATCGGTCACATGGGGCTCCTGGTTGTTGCTCAATAGCTGGAAAAACATCCACAGACCACAGAGTCCTGGGCCCCAGTGAGGACTGTTACTCTTGTTCCATCTCAGCAAAGCCCAGTGGTAGTTGTTAATCAGCCACTTGGGAGTCGCCAGAAAAACATTAGTCAGGGCCCCCAGTAGAATGGGATCTTGAGGTGGAGAGCCCCAGATGAGTAGTGATGGGCAGAGCCTGGAGGCTTAATGGGACCAGCTCAGCACCAGCCTGTTTCTCCCTATTGAGGCAGCACTGGCCTGGGGAGAGGAGGGTGCAGCTGAAGTGGTCTGGGTTGCAGGTGAACTGGGCCACCCTGCAGAGCACTTGTGGACGAAGGCAAGTGCCCAGAGCTGGTCAGAGCCCAAGGAAGGGCAAGGTTCTGGGAGGGCACTGGGCAGATTCTCATACCACTATAGAAGAGCTCTAAGAGATGGGGAGATGGGTTAAAATCTTTTTGCCCCAATTTATAGCATTCTGGGCAGGCTGGTTCTGCTGCTGACTTGCTAACTGTGTGATTTTAGCCAGGTCATAACCCCACTCTGGGCCTCTCCCTTGCTATCAGCAATAAGGGAGCAGGACCAGAAGGTCTCCATAAAGTCAGGAAATGTGCAGGGAGGCTGGAGAGAAAGCCCTGAGGTTGTGGGGACAGCCATGCTCCAGTGTCTGGCAAGAAGCAAGATGGGTCCCACTGAGGTGCTGGTTTTATAGAACAAGAGTCAGATCTCTAGTCCCAGGGAACCCACAGGCCAATAAGGGAAACATGAATGGCAACTCCCAGAATGATCTGGGCCTCCAGACCAGGAAGCTTCAGTGGCTCTCCCAAGGTGGCCAAGGAGCCAAGGATGTGGCTGCTAGTGCAGCTCTGCCACCTACCCCTGTGTAACCTCCAGCATGTCACTCCCTTCTTTGGGCTTTTTGGAAGATGGGGAGAAATAGGGGTTGGACTATACTGCTTGTGTTTCAGGAGACCTCTGGCTCTGACATTCCATGATTGTCCAGCAAACCTGGCAGGAGCAGCTCACGTGGGCCCCGTCTGGGGAGGGCACAGCCGCTCAGACTTGCAGTGACTTGCAGGAAATGCGGTTTGTATCAATTTCAGTGCTAGAATAAAATAGAAACCCCTGCTGACAAGTCCATTAAGGGGAAAAGTTGAGTTTAACTCAGGTTAACCCTTTCAGTCACTAATTCATTTATTAAAAAATATTTTGGGGGGCTTTATGATGACCAGGTATGGGACACATAACATTTCTGCTCAGGTTGTGGGGCCTGGCTGCCAAGACCTCACTGATGTACCCAGTCCAGCTTTTCCTTAAGGCATTTCTTGAGAGGAGCATTTTTTTCTGGCCATGTAGAGCCTCTGGTAACTAGCCCATCTGAAACTGTTGGAAAATGCCTTCAGCAGAAAATAGAAAATTATAGCTGTCTCTGACATCAGCCTAAGAAATGGAGAGAGGAAAATAAAATCTTTGGCCCGATTTTTTCGCTAGGTGGAAAGCAGAGCTTCCCAATTCTCCAGGTGTCCTGGCTTGGTGGAATGAATCCAAGGCCAGAGCCAGGAGGCCTGCTTTCCAGGACCATTTCTGGCAACCAGCTGCTGTTGACCTGGGGCTGCTCCCCATTGCCAGCCCCACCGCATTCTTCTTCCTTTATGAAAAAAGGATCGGGGACTAATCTGTCTGCAGGGGCCGTTTGCACTTTTACATATCGTGTGACACGATAAAGATTTTGTTAAGGGAGAGAGAAGCCGGAGGTGGTCTTAGAAGAACCAAGTGGACCTGCTCAGGCAGTGGCTGGTACAGAGAGGCAGTGATCTGAATGTCAGCATAACCTGGTCCTGGATCACTTAGTCAAGGTAAAGGGCGAACCAACACTGCTCAGCTCCAGGGGTTGCGTGAGGACCTTCTCCAGTGGTCTGGAGGGAAGTGGAGTCACTCCCTGCAGAGTACCGGGAGTGGTTCTCCTGACACTCGTTCTGAGTCTTCTCAGTTCTCTGCAGTGCCCTCTGAACTGAGGCCAAGAAAGGAAGGCTCCCGGGCGCTGGGCATAAAGTGGCTAATGAGTAACACCTGCCAGCTGCAGCAGCTAGGAAGGGGAAGACATATGGAAGTTCCCTGGAGGCCAGGTTTTTTGTTTTTTGGGGTTTTTTTCCCCAGTAGGGAGAACTCATCTTCAACTTGGATTCCATTCAGGAAAGGACTCCTTCTACCAAAGTCATATACAGTACCCTCTACCCTTATGGGGCAACCATCATTCGGGTTTGCTGGGGACAGAGCGATTTCCTGCGGAATGGGAATTTCAATGCAAAAACCAGGCAGTTCTGGGAAAATAATTCTGGTTGCTCTCTGGATATGACCAAGAACCAGGACATAAAGACAGGTCATGGGCACCCAGGTTAGAGAGATATGGACAGAGGGCCCCACTAGCGGCTCTACAGAAAGGGAAGCCATTCTTGGGCTAAGCAGACATCAGTCTGTAGTGTTCGTTGGAGGAAGCCGCTCTTCATATCAATACCACAATAAGATAACACAGAGAGGGAAGCCTCAAGGGAATGGAAATATAGAGACAAGGGACATTGATTCAAAAGACACGACATGGGATGCCTGGGTGGCTCAGAGGTTGAGCATCTGCCTTTGGCTCAGAGCATGATCCCCGGTTTCCAGGATGGAGTCCCGCATAGCACTACCCACAGGGAGTCTGCTTCTCCCTCTGCCTATGTCTCTGCCTCTCTCTCTCTCTCTCATGAATAAATAAATAAAAATCTTAAAAAGAAAATAGAGACACGACACCCCAGCCCAGATGGAGTAAGACAAGAATGAGTGGGGGAATCGAATCCAGAGCTGTACAGAAATGGTTCTCTCAGGGTCCCCAGAGAAGGGTTCTCACCAGTCCTATAGAGTTCATGAGCTGGAAGCCCGTATCAGAAGCCACTGACAACCTCAGGCTCAGAGGTACAGAGGTAGACTCAAGGAAAACGTACTACAAAGTACGTAGAGTTTTCACCGCAGACTTCAGCTTCCTCATCCTCAACCAGTGATCTTGTTATCTTTACTGGGTCTCAGGTTAAAGAACTCTATCCAGGAACTGCTGTGTAAAGATTCCCGGACCAGATGTGCTTTTGCCAAATGACCGTACTCAAGATTCTAACAATGGAAAAAATCTGATGAGGGACTGACTTATCAACATTACCATACCCAGAATGTTTCTTTACCTGTGGTGGCAGGAAGTAGGCTACCATATGAGACATCCTTAAAGGAGCTACTGAACTAACAAAGAAGCTACTGGATTTTTAATTGACATTTGAACTGAAATGGATGCTTCCCAAGACTTTCCCTCTAAGATGGATAATTTTGCCCCCTAAACTCCACAATCTGATTATTGTGGGTTCATTTATGCTACTTTTTTTTAGAACCAATGGATGTAGAGTTAGAAGACTGTATAAAGATTTTGTAATCTAGCACCTACTCTAATGTTAAAATTTCTCTGTAGTATTACTGCCCAAAAGACTGCAGTCTTGCATACCTCTGGTTATATGGAATTTACTAATTTTCAAACCAATTTTGTGCCTTATGGGATAGTTCTGATTATAAGACTTAATCCATATATGGGGTTTTGGTAGCCCTTCATGTGTTTGTGTTCTTTTCCCCATCAGATAGGACCAGCTCTTTCAACCACTGTTCATTAGACACCTCATCATCTTGGGCATCTTGGTTGTGCAGTAAAATTCTAGACTTGAAAAAACTGCTAGGATTGAGATCCACGGTTGAAAAGAAAAATATGAATGTTCTAGCTAATGTTTCCCTGGCTGTTCTGGCTTTCAGATATGTGCTGATGTCTGTCTGTGGATATCCAGCCCTGACCCATGATGGAAGCCATCTGTAGTGGATCAGAGGCTCATCATCCATCTTCTACCTGGTGGGCATCCTGTCTCTGCATGAATCTTTCTTCCTGTTTTCCCTGCATGAATCCACTTCCTCAGCTTCCCTGCCTGCTTCCTGCAGATGTACCTCTTCCACAGCTTCTCCTGCTCTGAAGCCTTCATCCTGGTGGTCATGGCCTATGACCGCCAAGTGAATATCTGCCGCCCACTGCACTACCCTGTCCTCATGACCCCACAGACCAATGCTACACTGGCAGCCTGTGCCTGGCTCACTGCCCTCCTCCTGCCCATCCCAGCAGTAGTGCAGACTTCCCACTTGGCTTTTGACAGCACTGCTCACATCTATCACTGCTTCTGTGACTACTTGGCCGTGGTCCAGGCCTCCTGCTCTGACACCATGCCCCAGACCCTCATGGGCTTCTGCATTGCCATGGTGGTATCCTTCCTGCCCCTTCTCCTGGTGCTTCTCTCCTATGCCCACATCCTGGCCTTGGTGCTTCGCATCAGCTCCCGAGAAGGACGTTCAAAAGCCTTCTCCACCTGTAGCTCCCACCTCCTGGTGGTTGGCACATACTACTCATCCATTGCCATAGCCTATGTGGCCTACAGGGCTGACCTGCCCCTTGATTTCCACATCATGGGCAATATGGTACATGCTATTCTCACACCTGTCCTCAACCGTCTCATCTACATGCTGAGGAACAAGGATGTCAAAGTAGCCATCACCAGAATGGCATGTCCCCAGAACCCAGGGCATTGTGGGGACCCTTGATTCTTAGACACAACAAATTCAGATCCCTGGACACTAATGACAGTGCCTAGCATAGAATAGAAACATGAGAGGGCAGCCCAGGTGGCTCAGCGGTTTAGCGCTGCCTTTGGCCCAGGGCGTGATCCTGGAGACCCGGGATTGAGTCCCACGTCAGGCTCCCTGCATGGAGCATGCTTCTCTCTCTCTCTCTCTCTCTCTCTCTCTCTCTCTCTCTCTCTCTCCCTCTCTCTGTCTCTCATGAATAAATAAAATCTTTAAAAAAAAGAAACATGAGAGATATTTTTTAAATGAACGTCAGCAGTCTAAATTAGCTTCATTCAGTTGAGCAAACAACTAAAACCTAATCCTCAAATACTGGACCAAGAATACTTTGGGACACCTGGGTGGCTCAGTTGGTTAAGTGTCTGCCTTCGGCTCAGGTCATGATCCCAGGGTCCTGGAATCAAGCCCTACATCGGCTCCCTGCTTGGCAGAGAGCCTGCTTCTCCTTCTCCCTCGCCTGCCACTCCCCCTGCTTGTGCTCTCTTTCTCACTCTTGCTCACTCTCTCAAATAAATTTAAAAAAAAGAGAAAGAAGAAGAAGAAGAAGAAGAATGCTTCTCTCTGGTATTATAGAACAATTGTAGTTTTCACAATTTTCATCAGTCATTAATGTGATAAATACAATCATCCAACCATTCAGAAAAAATTTTACTAGATGCCAGAGAGAGAAATGAAGCAGACACAGTTGCTGTCCTCAAGATATCCATGGTTTGGTGGAGAGTCACATACAAAGAACAATGAAAGGTGATAGGATAGAGAGAAGCAAAGGGGGCTGTGGGGGCCAAGAAGTTTGCATTTAATTCAATGTTAAATGTTTTTCCTATTAAGTTCTTATATTTTTGGCATTGGTGTCACTTGTTTGTTAACAAGTACTTGTGTGTCAGCAGTGGAGTTGAGGGCAGGTGGGAGGCTTGAAATAATTGCATAAGAAAACCACTAGCTGCTCCAATCAGGGAGTGTTAATGGGGTCCATGTTCCTGACCAAAGGGAAGGATCCATTTTCAGCTTGGATACCCATTAAAAAACGCTTCCTGCCAAGAACCAGTGGGTGGATGGTAGAGTGGCTCCACTCACTGTCACCCACAGTGACCCACTGTGGCAAATCTGTCTTTCCAGTCCTTATAATTTTGCTTCTGTGGATTAAATGGTACTGATTCCACAGGGGACACTGTATTTCTCACTAAATTTAAAGCTACGACAGGCTGCCTGGTCATTTTAAGCCCACTGTGCAAGTATATTAGCAATCAAAAAAGGAGTTACTATTCTTGCAAGGGTAAGTGACCCTAATCTTCAGGAGGGATAAGACTGCTCATATGTAGTGGGGGCTGGGAAGTTGGTACTCAGGCATGGGAGCATTTCTTGTTTCTTCCATGACTGACTTTAACTGTAAATGGGCAATGAAAGCAATCCTAGCCTGATGAGGCACAGTAATCAGGGCTCAGAACTGTCAGGGATGAGGGTCTACATCATGCCAGAAGGGAATCCATCTAGACCAACTGAGGTAAGTGAATGTGAAGGGAAAGGAGAAGGGGATCTAGAATGGGTGGTAGAGGGGAGCGATGATGAGACTCATTCGTAGCCATGGGGCTGCCTGCAGTGGCAGGGGCAGTAGTCAATACTACTAATGCTTCTCTTAGAAATTTCCCCCCCAAATTGTGACTAATAAGAATCCTGGAAATACTAGGTCCAAATGGAATGAACTTCTTGTGATAAGTGGATGAATCAGAGATTTGAGTGGTAGACTGTAGTAGACACAGTTGGTGGCCTGCCCTCTGGCAGCTGAGCAGTGGCTGCTAACAGTTCACACACATATATCTTAAGATATAGGTATATGCCCTGACCCTGATTGCTTCTCTTTTGGAAGGAAGGAAGCAAGAGAGTAGTTTTATAAGCAGAACAAACTGACCACTGGATACTACTGTAGTTCCTGGTAAAGCCAGTGGCATCCTGAGACCCTCAGAACCCATGAAAGTTGCATCTCCTTCCACAGGAAATGGATAGCTCCAGTCCCCTCAGAAATTAAATATATGCAGGCAGCCTGTCCCCTGGATATTGCCAGGTAGTACACAGAGAACTTCTGGAATAATTTTTGGATAATCATGTGTTACTCCAAGCACCCAGTATCTCTTTATGTTATTAAATCCTCTCAAAAACTCTATGAGATAGGTAATATTATGTTCTATTTTACAGATAGAAAAACAGATTCGGAGAGGTTAAGGAACTTGCCTAAAGAGACATAGCTAAAATATATTAAACTGATACTCAAACCCAGGAGTTCTTCACTTTAGAGCCTCTACCCTTTTCCACAATGGATCCTGCCGAGCACAGGCCTGGAAATGTGGCCCAAGGGTTTGGCCTGCAGCTCTAATACTAAACATCAGCATAAGCAGTGGTAAGTCACTTCACTTCTCTGGACATTCGTTTTCTCCTCCTGGGCTGCCTGTCTCCCTTGGCTCTTCTGAAGACCAGATAGAATAATGTCAACAAAAGCTTTCCCGGGGACACCTGGGTGGCTCAGTGATTGAGCATCTGCCTTTGGTTCAGGTCGTGATTCTGGGGTCCCAGAATTGAGTCCCACATTAGGCTCCCCGCAGGGACCCTGCTTCTTCTCCCTCTGCCTATGTCTCTGCCTCTCTGTGTCTCTCGTGAATAAATAAATAAAACCTTAAAAAAAAAAAGCTGTTGCATTGGTTGTAAGGTTCTGGAGCCCAGGAGGGCTGTTAACAATGCTGTTCTCATTATTGGCAAATCCCAGAGGCATGTCCCCTTCCAACACATGCTCTAGGAGGTGCCAAGAAGTTGATCTTGGGTGATTAGATGGCATAGTGTTCCTAAGAAGCCCCACCTTGAGGGAAAGAGTCCCAGCAGGCCTGGCTGAAGGAGGGGTTGGAGCGTCTAATGAGTTGCAGCTCAGCATCTGCCTGGTGCTTCCCTGCTAGGCTAGGTTAGAAGAAACAAATGAGACACCACAGAAGATACCAAGGTAGCAGGGCTTGACAGGTGAGGGGGCCAAGGTAGGGTGGAGGGGAAATGCCAAAGCTGAGCAAAGACCAAAGTGGAGAGACAGGGGCAAAGGTATGGTGGGAGGGATGTAGAACTGGAGCTGGAAATAAGGAAGACAGATCGAGTGCACAAGATGTAGGCAACCAAGACCCAGGTTGGCTGTGCATACCCTGGCTTGGGATCTTGGACCACATATCCTGGCAGATCTGGACAAGGTGCACCTCTGGGTGGGATTCAAATCATATCGGCCAAGGCTTCCCCCAGGAAAGCTAGACTGATGACAGCAATCACCAGTGGACACACTAGCAAGCTCTGAGCCCTGTGTGTTCCAGGCTGTTGGGTAAACATTGTCCAAGCATTTGCTCCATATGGATCACAACAACCCAGGAGGTCACAGATGAGGGAAATGAACTTCAGGAGGGGGAAGTGACTTGCCCAAGGCCACGCTGCTGGAGGTAGCAGCTGGGATTGGAATCAGGTCCTTTCTGACTCACAAGTCCACACACTTGACCACTAAGGTCCACATGACAAGATGAAGGGAAAGGACCCGGCTGGCAACAGGTGCTCACTAGGTGGGATAGTCCTCACCCTCTCCCTTTAGGGCATGGACCACTGTGATATCCGATCTGCCAACCACAGAGGGGGACCCCCAGAAAAGAGCTCCTTGAGTTGGAAACCCCCCAGAGGTCTTTTCCTCCCAAGCTCTTACTGCCCAGATGAGAAAACCAAGGTTCAGGGACCCAGAGTCATAGCAGGTGAGTGGCATAGCTGGTCCAGGAGCCAGCACTCTTGGTGGCCAGGTGGGGCTCAGGCCTTTGCGGCAGGCTGGCTCCAGAACACGCTCTCACCCTCACCAGCTGTAGCCTTGGAGGGACCTTCATTCTTGCTGGTTGAAGGGCATAACCATTCCCTGGCAGGCGTAAATGATGAGAGGGGGTGATATATGTGAACTACAGCATCCGCTTGTACATTCCAGTGACTGATTTTTCTGTCCACCTGTGTAACTGACTGGTGGACAATCCAGACAGGGAGGACCCCCGCCAGGTATGGTGGCAAGTTCTGTGTCCTGGGAGACAGCGCCCTTTGGGCCTGAAGCACAGGACGGCACTGTTCTCATGTACTAGGTAATTTCAAGTAAAACAAGGACCTTAACCTGTATGTTAAGTGTAAGAAGTTCCAGCCAAACTTGCTATTTCCTAGGATGGGCCAGTTGAGCGATGCTTTGAGATATCAAATGCGAAAATCTTTCAGAAATTATTTTGGTGCTCTGCTTCGCTGGTGAGCCAGCACATGTTAGTGTGCCTGTCGGATAGCCCAGTGCCGCCTGGCAGCGAGAAGCCATGTGCCACCTGTCCACCCAGGTTGTAGCATCTGTACTTCCATCTGCAATGTAGTGGAGCAGAGGAGGGAAGAGAAAACAGTTGGACTTGATGGCCCCTTAGGATCCCTCTGGCCCTGACCCTCTGTGTTTCTGCCTCCCAGATGCCCTACTGTGCGTCACCCAGGACTATCAGCCACAACATCACTTCAGGTGTTAGAAAAAAAAATGTTGGCTGGATTTGTCAGATGAGATTTTGATCAGCTGAGGGTTAAGCCTTTAAAATGGAGACAATAAAAAAATAAATAAATAAATAAATAAATAAATAAATATAATAAATAAAATGGAGACAATGAGATTCACCCTTGCCTAGGTCTTGGGGGTGACCTGTGAGGTTCTCTTTCAAGGGGCACACACATGAATAGTTGTCTCTCTTGTGCTCATTTTAGATAAAGCATTTGTCAGTTACCATTTTTAAATGGAGAAGCCAGGCAGCATAATCCAAATTAATCACAGAGCCAACCAAGAAGAATATAAAAGGTGGTGGAGAAGAGTTGGGGAGGGTACTGGTATTGGAATTGAAGATTTAAAAGATTTTTTTTCCAGCCTGACATTCTATGATTCTAGGACTTGAGAG